TATATAAAGCGTAACAAATATTCGAAATGAAATATTTCAAAAACTTCATTTAAATGTAATTGATTCGAAATTTAAGCAAATTAAATGAATTTTTAAAAAATATAAATATTCTTGATATTGTAAAAACGAGAAAAAATAATTCTAATTTTGATGTAATTTTTATTTAAAGTTCTGCCTGTTGCGCCAAACTTTCAACACATAACAAAACACTTCATATTACCATATCATCTAATCCTTTATCATATTATCATATCCAGGATGCAATCAACGGCACTTAGGTTAGTCTTCATATCTATTTTTTATTTCAAATATTTTTTCCTGTTGAAAGAATGAACAATATGATGCATTGTTAACGAACGAAAAATATTTGTTTAAAATAGAGCCTCACTTTCAATTCATTTTTTGTGTCTGGCATATCTATTTTTCAACTTTTTTATTTTTATGATAAGACTTTAAAATTTATCTATCTGCATCGATTAGGTACCATTTGGTATTTTAAGTGAAAAGAGGACAACTGTCTTAAATCATGACACATTAGCGTTTCATTCTTTAGCTAAAAATGTTCAAAAAAGAAAAAGAAAAAAAACTTTGAAAAGGAAAATAAAATTGCATTTTTTTTAATTGGAAAATTTCTACAATTCCTAAATCAATCAGTATTCAATTTTACAGATTCCTTGAAGTATCATCAGAATATCGCTTATCATCAAATGATTTCGAGACAACTGTCTGGATAACAGATCCAGATATTGAATTTCGTCGTGCAACAATTCTCGAGGAACATAATGATAATGTTACTGTTGGTTTTCACGATGAAAATGGTCATTTCGAAAAGGTCGATGAACTTTTCGAATTATATTAATGTGTTTCTTATATAAAAATGAATTTAGAAAAAATGATAGTTCATAATTTGAATTTTAAATTATGCAATATTCTTTTAATTAAAATTTCAAAATTTAATCAAAAAAATTTTAGCGTATTATACCAAAATCAGAAGTGAAATTACCAAGTGTATCGTATTTTGTGGAAGATATGTGTAATTTAAGCGAATTAAATGATGCATGTGTTCTTGAAGCCGTTCGTTCCCGATATGAAGCACAACTTATTCATGTTCATTTATTTTTTTTAACATTTCTACGCTTCATTGCAATTAATAGATATTAATTTAGATATTAATTTAAACCATTGAAAATTATCAAAATTTTAACAAAAAAAATTTACTTTGTTCGATGTATCTATTTGGACAATTTTGCTCATTTTTATGCATTTTTTTTTAATTCTTTATCTGATTTATTATATATCAATTTTCTTAATAAAAATTTTGAATTTTTTTTTTTTTAGACTTATTCGGGTCTTTTTTGTATTGTTGTTAATCCATGGAAGAATATACCAATTTATACAAAAGAAGTAATGGAAGTATATATGCATACCGTTGATAGGAATTATTATCATTTACCACCTCATATATATGCTGTTGCACAAACTGCTTATGATGGTCTTCTAAGTGGTAACAATCAGTCAATTTTAATAACGTATGTTTTCATTATTCTAATTATATTAATTATATTCCATTATTATTTGAGGATACTATCATATTTTAGCTATTTTATCATAAATTTTCCAGCACTAATTTTCTCATTTATACAAGTGTAATTTGTTAAATTATGAAATTAATTTCAAAAAGTCTGGTATTAAAAATTTGTTTATAAAATATCAATCAATTTCAAACAAATCAATTTATTTATACATCATTCTAAAGTCATTTCCTGTAAATTTATTATCATTAATTAAAAATAAATTTTACATTTTTGCAGAATTATTTTTTTTATGACGAAACATTGAGAATAATTAAAATTTTGAATGAATGAATATAATCGATAATCGAAAAGGAGTAAAATTTTGCTATCACTTGATTTGAATTTTTTTTTAAAAAAAAAAATGTTTTCAAGTGAATTTTTGTGGAAAATAAACTTTTTTTGATTGAATTTTTGCTCTTAAATGATCAGTTATAGTAAAATTAGGAAAATTTAAAGTTTAATTTCCACAGACATCCTCAAAAACTGATGAATGAAGTTAAGATTTTAGCAAAAAATGCGGTGATTTTTAATGAGAATGATGGAAATTGAATAAAAAACTTAATTACGCGAATATTACTTAAAATACAATTTAAGGTGATCAAATTTCAGGGGTGAAAGTGGAGCAGGTAAAACTGTGAATACAAAACGGATTATTGAATATCTGGGAGCAGTGTCCGAGTATCGAGGTCAATTTGGAATATCTGACGGTATCGATAAACGACTTACTGCTGCCGGAATTGTTATTGAAGCATTTGCTAATGCATCTACAATTTATAACAGTAACAGCTCTCGATTGGTATTTGCATTATTTTTGAATTTTGAAAAATGAAATAGAGCAAATACTTATTTATTCATCAAGTAGAGATTATTTGAATTGTGAAAAGAAAAAAATTCCGAAATTTAAAATGCTTAATCAGAAAAGATAAAGATAGATTTAGGAAATTTCATCCTCAACGATTCATCATAAACTGTTTACAGGGAAAATTTATTCGAATGGATTATGATGATGATATGATAATGAAAGGAGCTCAAATTCAAACATGTACATTGTTATTATCATTTGTTTCAATTTCTTTAGTATATTACAAATGAACTCGTAATATTTGACCATGCTCCGAAGTTTTTATTTTTAATTTTTAATACGAAAATGTAAACCAATTGATGTCATTCCACGAAGAATTCAGAGAATCAATTTTCTTTTTTTATTATTTAAAACATAAAAATTTTAATTTTTTCTTTTTTTACAGGCTTGCTTGAAAAGTCACGCGTTGTAAAGCAAAATAATGACGATCGGAATTTTCATATTTTTTATCAATTATTATCGGATGGTTTCGATAAGGATTTACGTTATTCGTTTGGTCTTGGACAGAGCGCTAATGCATACAAATTTTTAAATCAAGGTGGCAAAATTAAGGATCCGGAAATTGATGATGCTCAAGGTGCTGTTGATACATTGGTAAGTAACGATGTAATATAATTGCTCAAGAATGTTTAATTCTTGCTTACTGGCAGTTTGAATGGATCGATGTGATTTTTGTTTGTTTATTTTTGATGAAATAATTTTAAAGCATTTTAAAAACATGTGATAAAATTTAAAACAAATTAAAATTTCTTAATTATAGCGTGCAATGGATATTATTAAATTTACAAAGCATGAAGTATCGGAAATTTTTGAAATAGTAGCCGCTTGTATACTT